CCCACACAGTGGCAGGCCATCTCCCTGACGGTCATCGAGAAGGTCCAGATTGCTGCCATAGTCCTGGGCTCGCTCTTCCTGGTTGCCAGCATCTCCTGGCTCATCTGGTCCTCACTCAGCCCTTCAGCCAAGTGGCAACGACAGGATCTGCTCTTTCAGATCTGCTACGGCATGTATGGCTTCATGGATGTCGTCTGCATAGGTGAGGGCACCTCTCTCCTTTACCTGCTCTGTATCTTCCTCTTACACACCTGACTCCCCTGCCCATCCCCTCAGTTTCATGGCCTTATTTTCTGCCACTGGGGGCCTTTAGGGCTATCCTGGTGCCCCCTCAACCCACTTCCCTGCTTCTCCAGGGCCCTTTGCAACTGTATCTTCTCACTCTGAAGAAATGCTTGCTTAAGTACCTCTGGCCTAGATCTAGGCCACAGTTAACCCTGGATTTCTTATCCCTATTGCTCAGGCCTCATCATCCATGAAGGCTCCTCTGTCTACCGCATCTTCAAGCGCTGGCAGGCAGTGAACCAGCAGTGGAAGGTCCTAAATTATGACAAGACCAAGGACATAGGAGGAGATGCAGGGGGAGGGACGGCAGGGAAGCCGGGCCCCAGGACCTCACGGACGGGCCCCACCTCTGGGGCCACCAGCCGCCCCCCAGCTGCCCAGCGCATGCGGACGCTCTTGCCTCAGCGCTGCGGTTATACAATCTTGCACCTCCTTGGGCAGCTGCGGCCACCAGATACCCGTTCCAGCTCCCATTCTGGCCGAGAGGTTGTCATGAGGGTCACTACAGTCTGAACTGGACTCCAGGAGCAGGGATCTTGAGTCAATGCATCAGTCAGAGAAGAGCTCTCATGACTGCTGGAGGTACCAGCTCGACAAGGTGTTTGGGGCATGCTGCCCCCATCACCTAGGATCTCTGTGGGCAGCCTCAAGCTGGAGACATTGTCTGGCCTCACTGCCCACTGGGTAGAGACACCTGGATGACATTTCAGTATCCACTGGCAGCTCCTCACACTCATCCAGAGATGGCCGGTGGGCAGGCGGGGAGAGCAGCTTTCCTTCCCTGGAGAGAACCGTCTTTACCTCAGCTCCTAGGGCCTCCAGCCCCCCAGCTCCACCATGGCGACTTGGTGAAGGGGGACCAATGCCAGAAGAAAGGGGCTGTAGACCCCTATTCCCCACCCCATGGCCACAGGGCATCTGGCAATAAGACTAGTATACATTGACCTCCCGTTCCCTGCATGAGGGCGGGGGACTTCCCCCTGCTCCATCCCCCATTGCATGGGGGAAGGGCATAAAGAATCATTTATATGCACGTGGAGACTCCTTTCTCATCTGGGGCTTTTCTGGAGGGTTGGGAGGTGTGGGGAGGTTTCTCTGCACAGGTTGCAAATCCCAAATGCAGCAGTGGGTTCCGAGTTGTAGGTGTGACTCCCACTTGCTGGTGAATAATTCATGTTGGCTGCTAGGTGGCAGCGCTCAGAGGTATCTAAGGGGTAGACCTGAACCTGCCACCTATGAGTTGTATGATTTAGAAAAAAATCTCTTAGCTATGGTTTTCCTGTCTACCTCATAGGGTTGGAATAAGGATAAATGAGGGACAGGTTGGATGTCGTTGCAAAGAAAATCAGCAATGACATAAAGAGATTTCTAGACTAGTTGATGGTTCATTTATTTCAAATAGTAGCTGGTATAACAAATTCTAAAATGTGTTTTTCATCTGAAGTTGCACAGAATCTTGGAATTTTATGTTGAGTGACATAATAGGTATGGAAATATGAGGGAAAATAGACATTGCAAATGTGAAGCATGGTGATTATTTGTAAGAATGAGAACTCCTCTGACTAAATATTTGGGCCTATGGGCTGGGGAAGGCTGGAGCCATCCACCTTGTTCTGGAGATCATCTGGGTTCTTTTAGCCCTTCTCAAGTACTGTGCTCACCCAGAAAAGCAGTGTGGAGTGAATTTGGACTCATTTGGAGTGAGATGGAGGGAACCCCCCCCCTCAGTTATGAGTCTCCAACCCCAGTTTAAGCTATTTCTATGGCAGTTTAGGGTCACAGGTTTGATCCCGGTGTGCCCAGCTAGTGGTATTAATGGATGGCATTATGTTTGGAGGCAGCAGCATAGAGGACTGTTGTTTACAGAGAAAAGATTTGGGAAAGACTGGTTAAAATGTGGGTCAGCCTGAAGGCTGGGCACTTTCTTCTGTGACTTTGAGGTTGTGTATTATATGAATGATGCTGTTTTTTTAAGTAAACCATTCATCAGCAATTAAATAATTCCTTCATTCACAGCTAAAGTTAGATCTGGAGGCCTTTCTTATTATTGATCCTTCTCTCAGGGAAGGTTCTGCTCTGCCTCCTTCCTCCCTGGGGATGTTTTGGAGAAAATGATTCTCTTGTAAAGGCCCACACATATACTTGCCCAGGAAACCTTGATCCCCTCGCCTCTTCCAAAAGGGGTCTTTGTCGCTGTCCATGGTGCTGGCATCCAGACTAACCTAGGGATGTAGGAACTAAAGCTGGACTGGGGTTCAAGTAATTTCAAAGTGTGGAAGTATATAACTTCCAATTTCTGAAGGAATAGAGTGGATAGGGAGCTGAGACTGAGTTCTCTGCTCAGTAGGAAACTGTTTCCCCAGAGAGAGAACCCTCTATACCCCCCAAGTTGGGAGACAGAAAGGCCAGACTTTCCTGATTTGCCATTCACAGAAGAGCTGGTGGGGACCAAATGGGGGATTGCAAATCAGAGTGACTACTATTATCTATACTGGCAGGTAGGGCTCAGGCATATAGGACACATGTGGAGCTTCCTGTGCCAAGCCTGAGCTGTCCTCTGTGATGGATCTGCAGGGAAGGTTAGACATACCAAAGAAAATAGACATACTCACACACAAACACACTGTATCCATTTACACTCTGGGTCCTAAAATGAGGCGAAGTGGGACACTTTCCCCTCTCCTTCAGCACTAATGGAAGTATTGGTATGGGGGTTGGGGCCAGCAATCAGTATGGTCTCCTCTTCTTCCCTTTTTCCAACTTAAAAAGATCATTGTCCAGGAAAGGGGTCATGGGAACTACTACCCTCCTCAAGTGGGCATTCCTACTTGCCCACTGGAAAATAGAGAGTACGAGTGGGCAGAATTCTCATCACTGATTCCAGGGGAAAGGGTCTGACCACAAGCTGGGCTTTATCTCCCTCAAAGCTCAAATCTGTTAAAAATTTGGTCATTTACGTTCAAATTGAGTTCAGTGATAGAGGGATGGGGTGGAGACTGAGTATACAGTAGGGAAGGAGTTGAGAAGGTCAGAAAATTGCACAGAAACCTTGATCTTTGTACGAGCCTTTGGGTCCTCCCTGCCCCTCTGTAGATCTTGCATAATTAGATGCCCCCGCAGAAGGCCTGGTGGCTAAATGGAGTTTCTGTGGTCAGGGAGCCATGTCTAGGCCAGGAGACCAAGGTGTGGAGGAGGAAGAAGTGTGAAGTGAAATTTCCATTTACACCCAGCTAATTGGAATAGGGTAAGGGGTAGGGGAAGTGGGGCAAGTCTTGACATGGGAGGGTAATCTGGGATGCAGAAGGAACTGTGCAGTGTGCTGAGAGATTTATTTGGATGGAAGATGAGTTAATCTGTATACATCACAAGAGGAGAGCTGTGCCCAGCCTCTGGGGGGCCAGAGAATGCTGACTTAGGGAAACAGGCTCCCTCTGCCCACTGCCCCAGGGCTTCTGGCCACCCCCACACTCAGCTTTCATTCTGTCGGTCTGATTCCACTTCTCTGCTTGTATCCCTTCATCTGAAGGAAATTATCTTGGAAGAACTATTCCAGAGAGGGCAGTGACCAATCTAGGACTTCCTTCAATCCTGGCAGTCCAAAAGCACTTTGCTTACCAAAGTCAGCAATCTCTGCAAATCCCTAGCTCCCGGCCGATTTTACAGCTTAGCCCCTGCAGTTACTTTTCACCCCCCACCCCTTAATCTCTTACAGGAAGCCAGACTAGACTTGGCCGTTCCCACTACAGACAGAAACATGTCTGGGTTTGTGTTACAAACTACTCTTCTAGGCATCCAGACCTCCCATTGTTATGGGGGTCACCCCCAGGACCTGAGAAACCAAGGTGGGAGATGGGAGGGTTAGGGTCTTGCCTCCAGGTCTTGTAGGAAGTGGTAATATGAGAGAAATAAGTCAAAGTCAAGAATGGAATATTTGATTTTTTATTCTTTTTTTGTTGTTGTTGTTGAGATGGAGTCTTGCTCTATCACCCAGGCTGGAGTGCAGTGGCTGGATCTCAGCTCACTGCAAGCTCCGCCTCCCGGGTTTATGCCATTCTCCTGCCTCAGCCTCCGGAGTAGCTGGGACTACGGGCGCCCGCCACCTCGCCCAGCTAGTTTTTTGTATTTTTTAGTAGAGATGGGGTTTCACCGTGTTAGCCAGGATGGTCTTGATCTCCTGACCTTGTGATCCGCCCACCTCGGCCTCCCAAAGTGCTGGGATTACAGGCTTGAGCCACCGCGCCCGGCCTTGACTTTTTATTCTAAAATTTATGAATATTTAAAACTTTTCAATATAAAAAAGAAGCCAGAGGTCTGGGCAGGGACAAACCCAAAGATGTCTCTGCCTGAGAACTAAGTGATGGGGCAAACCCACTTAATAGTGGCCAGAGAGCAAAGGAGAGTTGTAAGAAATTGTAAACCAGGCTAGGGCAGATTCACCTTCCTATGGGCAAGACAAAGAAGGAAGTGGGTAGACGGAGCCTACTAAGCTGCTTATCCCTTCCACCACATGGTTCAGATTCAATCTAAGAATGTGTATGGTGTCACCCAGTCAGAGATGGGCCCTGGCAGGGGACATAAAAAATAAATAAGGCTTCATCGGACCAACCAGGTACAGAGCAGATGCACAGTTACTGAGCTTATGCTTTGATAAATGCTTAGCCAGCAGCATCAATGAACACTATGAAAGCCCAAAAACAGTGGCGGGTGAATCTTTCCTCAGGCCATCCAGCATTATTAGTTAAAATCTGATTTCATCCTTGGAGGATGCATACATGATCAGAAGGGCCGAGCACGGAGAGAGACAATGGTTTTCTCACTTGGCCTACTGAGTCAGGCCAAGTGCATACTTCACACATTGGTCAGGGCTGCCTCACACTTCACTATGGTCATTCTACCCAGTTTGGTCAGATAGGCCTTAGGGGCAGATGTATCTCTTGGTCTTGTGCCTACAAAAAATATTATCCCTACGATGAACGAAAGGGTGATGATGACAGCCTCTTTCCACAGGACTATCTGTCCAAAAACTGTAGGTTGATGCTCCTCTCAGGTACCAGGACAGTCCGGGTCATGGGTCTGATTGGGGCCGCACCTGGCTCAGGCTGCACCTCAAAATGTATCAGGATCTGGAAAGGGAAGAAGGTGAGCACTACTGTGAAAGATATCTATAGTGGGGGGATTGATTGGTAAAGGGCATGCATTATTAGTGTTAGAATGGTCAATGATTGGGTGGCACCTGTGGCCAGTAGGGGACTTCTTGGTTAATAAGGGTGAGGGATTGTGGAAGGGAAAAAATAGTTTGAATACCCTCACTTACACTCCAGGCCTATAATGGGCTTATCATATTTTAGAATATTCATTCTACCAGGTCTTACATGATTTCCTATGCTTGTCAGGGGAAAGATCTCACAACTTTAGAGGGTTAGGGTCTCTCCAGCCTGGGGAAGGTATAAAGTCTAGAGCACTTACCTGGGCCAAAGCCATTTGCAATTCAAGCTCTGCCAGGCGTCTCCCCATGCAGCTGCGCTTGCCAAAGCCAAAGGGAAGAGATGCAAATGGGTGGGGGGTGGGACCCTCCCCCAGCCAGCGAGCTGGATGAAAAGAATTTGGCTCTGGGAACTGGGCAGGGTCCCTTGAAGTGGCATAGTGACACAGAGTGACCAGCGTCTGGTGGGAAGAAAAACAAACTTGTCAGTTTGTGCTCAGAATGGGGGCAGGCATGAATAGGATATTCAGACAGGGACAAAGGCAGGTCCTGGTGGGTGATGGGGAAGTTTTCTGGGGCTACTTTTGGAAGGATCTCTCCACTGTCCCATTATATCCCAGAAAGGCATATCCTAGAGAGGGGTCAAGGGGAGTGTTTGAAGGGCTTTTAGGAGAGTGCTTGAGACCAGGGCTGGGGCCTAAGATAGTGAGGAATGGCTCAGTAGAAAGGGTGCATAGGCTCTACTCACATTTTTGGGGATAATATAATCACCCACATGAATGTCTTTGTCTGGGACACGAGAATTTCCAGGTACCACAGGGTACAGTCTAGGTTGCAAAGCACAAAATGGAGACAGCAAGGTGAGGCTAGGGGTTGCAGCCTTCTTCTCATTGTTTCCAACTTCCAAACCCTTTTTGACCAGTAGCAGAGTGCCATTTTTCTCTGCTGTCTCCCTGCTTCCATCCACTATTTGCTTCCGCAGCCTTCCTTGGCATTTCCTCTTGTTCCTCCTCTCCTTTCCCCTCACCTTAGCACTTCCTTGACCACTGCCTTCAGCAGGGGCAGCTGGGACAGAACAGTGGCTGGGGGGTGGGCACTGGAGCCAGGGCCCAGGGCAGCTGTGATCTCGGAGTGGAGTGCTGTCTGGACTTCAGGGTGCCGGGAGAGCTCATAGAGAGCCCAGGAGAGCGTGTTGGACACCTGAGAAACGTGAAAGCAAGAGAGGTGTTGGGTGTAGGAACCCAGCAGAGGGTGCACATTATGGAACAGTCTGGAGCTACGGGGTGTTAAGCCAAGCTGGTCTACGTGGCCATAACGGATCCCCTGCAACAGAAAAATGGTCCCGGAGTCTGGGGAGGCTAAGCCCTGGAACAGACTCACAGCACGGAGGGAGAACCTAACCGTGTCCACTCCCGCCAGTAGCAACTCTGTCACATTCCCCAGGATGGACTGGGCAGGCAACTCTTCCTGGAACAGAAAGTGGGTCAGGTGCGCCCCAGATTCCAGGTCCTCATCGGGCTGTCCTCGGTTCCTCATGGCTGCCTCGGCCTCTCGCCGCTCCACGTGCCTCTGAGCTGCGTAGGTAGAAGGCACGTGAATACCTCGCTACCCCTCCACAGCTTTACATTTCCCCATTCTCACCTCGTCCTGTGCCTTACCAAATGCAAACATCTGGTCCCAGTCTCGGCAGAGGCGGCCCCAGGGCCCAGGCACGAGGCGGCGCAGCCAGTGAGGCATCGCCATGGTCAACAGCGTGGACACAAACACCGAGCCCACCGCGCGGATGAAGGTCTCCGTGTCAGGCGGCACTTGAGCCTCCAGGCAGCCCAAGCGTGAGCCAAGCAGAACCGCGGCGATGCCTTGTCGGGAGGGGGCGCCGTCAGGGCTCAGGGAGGCTCCGGTAGGGCGCCCCTGACGCCTGCCCAGCTCTGTCCTGGGACTCACCTTCCAGTCCGAACTTGTAAAATTCCCCCGCTACATCCCGAACCAGGGCAGGCGGCCCCGTGCCACGTCCGCGCTGGCACCTCAGACGCCGCACAAGGTCGCGGACTACGTTGTCCAGGGTTCCGGTGTAGCGGGCGGCCGCTTGAGGCCGGAGGAGGAGTGGGGCCAGGAGACTGCGGAGCCTTTGCCATTCTTCGCCTTCCCTGCAGGGTTGAGGAGAGAGTGCGCATCGGGGAGGTGGGGACGGCTCGACGGGACTGGTTGTAGTGAAGAAGCGCATTCGGCTGCGGTGGCCAGGAAAGGGATTGCGTCTGCCCCCTTGGGGTACAGAAACCTACACCGGCCTGCGCCTGTCTTCCAACCCCCTTCCTCTTTACTCATTTCCTGCCCGCAGGGGCTGGGGTTCCCGGGTAACTTGAATCACAGAACCTTACATTCATTCCATCCAGATCCTGGTACCCTAACCCAATTCCTCTGGCTCCCCCAGTTCCCAGGATTCTGGTCTCAAATAATAAGGAGGTAGGCGGGGAGTGAGGTTGGGGCTCAACCCGAGTGTGGGTGAAGTAGACTGGGATGGGAACCCCAAGATGACCAAAGATAGAGTAGGACAGCCAACCTCCCACCATGCCCCTAAATCCGATAGTTTCGGGACCCGCAGCAGGAGAGGGCCGCTGCAGGGTGTTTGGCTTTCTGGGGGCAGAGAAGACTCACGCGGTGAGAAGTCCGCAAGCCCGCTGGCGGCGGCGGCGGTGCTCAGTCCAGGGCGAGAAGCTGCAGCGCTCGGGCCGGGGTCCCTCCTGTCGCAGCAGCTCCTCGACGAGTGCAGGAGCAGCCACGTACACGGTGCGCACTGTCCCGAAGCTGGCTACCCACACCGGCCCGAAGCGCGCGGCGCCCTGCACCTGGGGGAGGGGGCGCAGCGGACACTTGGATACCTGGGCGGGGACTTTCAGCTTGACCTGTGCCCACGCCAAGGGTGTTGACTGGGCTTGGGAAGAGGGAGCTTCTGCTCCTTCTAGGGTGCCCAGCTAGCTATTGCATGCCTTTGATACTGCAAACTCCTCCTCTCTCACTTCCCATCCCTAGAAAGTTTGAGTGCGATGGGCAAAGCAGGAACTTTGCGCAAGGCAGACATTCAGGACCTCTCTGATCACCTTGGTCGAGCAGAAATCTCTAAAAGTTCCATGTCTAGATTGTCCATCTCAGGACAAGTTCTCAGTAAATGAAAACGAGCCCATGTAGCTTTAAGCCCCACGCAGGCGGAGGGTACCGCGTGCTCCCGCCTCCCGCGCACTTGCACTGTATCTGCAGGATCTCCACACCTCAGGACAGCGAGAAAGTGCTTTCCCAGCGCCCTCTGCTAAGAGTCGGGACGGACTCTATGCGGGTCGAGCCACACCGTCCCCAGCCTCAACTCGCCTTTTCCTTAATTCATGGGTATCCGTTCTCTCTGGCTCTCCCACATTTGCTCTGCACTAGTCAGTCCTTTTTGACGCTGTCAAAGCCAGTTTTCCCAGCACTCAGTCTCGGGAAAGGCGTCCCTTCCTACCTGCAGCTCGTGTAGCCTCGACAGCCCCCCCTTGCAGAAAAGTTCAGCCAGAAAGCTGGGCGTAGAGGGGCCTGGGATGTCTGCCAAGCTCCGGCGTGCTGAGTCGTACTCTCGGTAGCCTAGGGAGGCGCCCAACTCGGGAGCCCAGCGGACGCGATGGAACACCCTGGAGGCATACTTGAGGGTCTGGGTCATGGTCTGGTTCCGGGTGCCCGCGATAGAAAGCGCTTCTCCTGAGCACCTAGTCTGAACCCCTATTTAACCTTTGGGTGAGGTGATGACGCCCCCTCTCCAAGCTCCTCAGCCAATCCCTCCTCCTGAGTGGTCTGTGCTGGGGATTAGCACCCAGGAACAGTAGGCGGGGCTGGGGCTGACTTCACGACTCCCGTGGGTCTCGTGTTGCAATGACCCTCATGGGAGGGAGGGCCTAAGATTTTCCTCCTGGGAGAGTGCCCTAGTCTAGGAGCCTAAAAGTCTCATCCTAGGAAAGGTTATAAGGCTTTTTAGTACGGACTAAGTGACCAAGCTACACTAGTCAGTCTCTGATATTCCCACCACTTCCACCAGGGAGCCCAGCCCCTTTAGGCGCATCCTCAGGAATTCCCCATCTTTCAGCTCCTCCGGGAAGGGAAGCAGGGGAGGCACAGCTGTAACTGTCCCCACATTCTTGGCTCAGTGGGTTGTCTCTTCTCTGCATTATTTTCCTGCACTAGCCACATCTCCCCCTCCTCCTGTACCTAACATATACTAGGCAGATGGCAGGTGGGTTAATGGGCTAAAATGGCTCCTAGAACCTCCATTTTTCTTTCTTGAGGATAAGGGGGCCTCTTGGGTGTATAAGCCCACTTCTGCCAGACATGGAAATTTGGGGCTTGAGAAGCAGAAATGAAGAAACTTTTTGTACATTAGTTAAGTTCTAAGATTGTCTCTGGGCTGTTAGAGGAACTACATGGATGTGGATGTTCTAATTCCCCAGCTGACTCGGTCTCCTCTGGGGGGCTTTCTGGTTAGCAGCCCCTTTCTACTTTCAGCATCAGAATCCTCCACAGAGCCAGGCATGGTGGCTCATGCCTATAATCCCAGCACTTTGGGAGGCTGAGGCGGGAGGATGGCATGAGGCCAGGAGGTTGAGACAAGCTTGAGCAACACAGCAAGACTCTGTCTCTACAAAAGAAGTTTAAAAATTAGGCTGGGCACGGCAGTTCATCACTATAATTCCAACACTTTGGGAGGCTGAGGTGGGCAGACTGCTTGAGCTCAGGAGACTGAGACCAGCCTGGGCAACATAGTGAAACTCTGTCTCTACAAAAAATACAAAAATTAGCCAGGCATGGTAGCGCGTGCCTATAGTCCCAGCTACTTGAGAGGCTGAGGTGGATTACAGGAGCCCAGGAGGTCAAGGCTGCAGTGAGTTATGACTGTGCCACTGCACTCCAGCCTAGTCAACAGACAGAGGGGCTGTCTCTAAAAAAAATTAAAATAAAAGAATCCCTTACAGTTACCTCTCTGCTCCTTACTCCCTCATTCCCTACTCCAACCCTGTCAGGCTCTGTGCCAGTCAGTCAGATCTGAAGTTCTGAATTGAAGGTCAACATGAAAAAGGAGAGGGTCTCCACCCCCACACCTTCCCAAGGACTCTCCAGAGACAACATTTAGGGAATAGATTCCCCAGCTCGAGTCTTACGCAGGGAGAGGACAGGGGGATGGTAGAAGGCATATGATACATACTCCACCATTTCCTGAGAAATAGCAGAATGGGCATGTATACACATATACATGTTATCCCAGGATCCACAAAGCAAACAGAAGTAGTAATTGAGCCTAGCAAGCAGTTTAGATAGACTACATTCCTCATTCTAGCTGAGGAGAGATCTCACAAGGAGAAGGGAGAGCAAGACCCCATAGCCTTTCAAAGATTCCCTATGGTCCAAAGTCCTTTGACCATCTCAGTCAGCTGCTTTGTTTTCTGTTGGCAGTGGAGGGACAAAGTGAGAAGAGCCAGGGGTAGTCATGAACACCAGCGGGTTCTGCCCTGGGCAGCTCCCCACCTTCTTTGAGAGAGTACTGTGTCTCAGCTCCAGCAGTCTCAACTGGGAAGACCCAGGACTCCTGCTCTTTTCTCTAGTCCCTGGGAGACGAGGTCCAGCTAAGGTAGAGTAAGCAGTCAGTGACCAGGCAGGCTTGTTTGGGGGGTCACTGCCTGGAGGACGGGATCTTGTATTCTTCGGAAGATGGCTGGGAAATTCTTCCCTCCATTACGTAGAACTTTCTTCCCCTCCTCAGTTGAGGTGCCTAGATGTCCCACAATGGGGTCTTCACTCTGGGAGAAGGAAGGGTCCAATAAGTGCCCACTGTTCAGACTGCCCCTGGCCCTTAGACACCCATCCCATCCTCCTGGCACTGAGCTAAGTTCAAATATAGAACCACTCTGGAAAGGGCCTCCATATCCTGTAGATTCCCTACTCACCAGGTCCTCCAGAGGCACACGCTCAAACAGCGGGTGCTCTTCGAAATGAGTGCACATCCAGTCGTGTAGCTCCAGCACATCGGTTATGGTATATACCAGCCCCTGCATAGGCAAAATCACCCTAGACAGGAGGCTGCATGCAACATCATTAGCAGCCAGATGATGGGAGTGGTGGTGTGAGTCCCTAAATGCACCACCACTGAATTCTTAGTGAAGGGCCCCTGGATAGGCTACTCACCCCATCCTCCCTCCCATCCCAACTCACCCCAACTCTCAGCACGTAGGCATATTCTGCTAGCAGGGTGGGACTGATGATTCGCCACTTGTGCTTTGTCCGCTTGAAATGTGGGTCGGGGAAGAGGAAGAACATCTTTGTCAGCTGTGAGACAGACACGCACCAACAGGGTTGTGAGAGCCTGGCCTCCATGCCCCCACCTGCCTACCAGCCTAACCCACCAGGGCCCCTCCCCACCTGGCCCTTGTAGAAGAAGTTAGGAAGGTGCTTCATGGCATTGCTGCGGAGACAGGCGATGTTCTGGAAGCCACCTCTGGGAGCTGCACGTAGGGCCCGAATCCGGTCTTGTACATAGTCTGAGACCTTCACCCGGATCTCTAGACCCAGAATCAGTGTATCTGGGAACAGCGGTGACAGTTCCACTGGACACAGAAATAGCAATGGAATCATCAACCATATACTTGTAGGAAGTGCAAAGGGGTCAACACAGGAAAGGAAGCCTCAATCTGCAACTACCAAAGTCCAGAATGGCAAGAGAGGACAGAGATACATATAAGGATAGTATTATGCTGAAGAGGCTGGGGGAGAAATGAAAATTGTCATCAGGACCAGAATGGGAGGGCTGAGAATACATGTATATTTGCCATTGCTATAGAGTTTCCACAGTGTTTTCACACATTGTATTATTTCATCCTTATAACACTCTGTGGTAAATTGTGAAGATGAGGAAACTGAGAACTGGAACTTATTTATTTGAGATGGAGTCTTGCTCTGTCACCCAGGCTGGAGTGCAGTGGCACAATCTCAGCTCACTGCAATCCCTGCCTCTCAAGTTCATGCAATTCTTGTGTCTCAGCCTCCTGGGTAGCTGGTCTTTAACTCCTGGCCTCAAGTGGTTCACCTGCCTCAGCCTCCCAAAGTGTTGGGATTACAGGTGTGAGCCACTGTGCCCAGGCAGAACTGGACCTTAAACCAAGGTTTTCTGCCTCTATGTACCATGCTTTTCCTCTCTATCAGAATGTTATCTGTTTGGGAAGATCTAAAAATAGGGAGTGGCTTGGCATGCATGGGTGCGACAATATAGACAATACAAGAGGAACCCCAAAAAACAGGAGCGTGGGGCAGAAGGAATGAGATCTGGCGAGGGAGGGGCAAAGGGGAGGGGAGATGGTAGAATCCCTGAGAAAGACAGTTCAGGATCACTGGCCACAATGGCTAATCTCTGATGCTTGTGCTGACCAGCTCACTGACCCGGTACCTGGCAGATGAAATGGCTCATGTAGGGATTGACACCATAAAGGACAACCCGGGTTTTAAGAAGCATTTGAGGCAGCCCCCTCCACTCTCCAGGGCAAAGGTCACAGACCCAGAGTAGAGGGAAGGTGGAGCCTCTCCATGCTGATGTCACCAGTGTCTGGACGAAAGGGGAAAGGCCGATTATGACCCCCAACAAAAGTCGCTGAGGCAGCAGAAACTACTAGGCCTCTTCTCACCCCAGAGAGAGGGCCTAAGTGTTACCTAACAGGCCACCATAGCCACAGCCTATGTCTGCAAACTCCACTTGGGCCTGAGCTCTCTTTTCTTTCTTATCCTTTGGGTCATCGTGGCTCTGATTTTGAGTGAGTGGAGCGAAGAACTCTGGGTATAGCTCAGACCAGTCCATCTCCTCTGGCTTCACAGGGCTATTGGAAAGAAGACATAAGAAGCATGAGGTGGTTGGTCACACTATTGCAGAAGTGGTACTGTGAAAGTGTGTGGGTGGGTGAGGGTGGGAGGTAAATGGGAGGAGGGTTTCTCAAAAATTCTGTAACACTGGGCCCTGTGGCCTCTAAGAAGGACAATGGAAACCACCCTTAACTCCCAGTGTGAATCATAGGCCCATCATGAGGCCCATAAACGCTGACCTGCTCAACTCCACTTCTGGCGGTTTATGTGACCCTGGCCGGGTAGCTGCCCTTTCTGGGGCACAAGTTCCCCTTATCCCGAGACTGGCTGCCTAATGCACTGGGATCCTACTTTGTGTTTGTGCTCTGCGGGGAGGGAAGGGAAGGTGCGGGCAGGATTGTGTATATGTTTGCCTTTTTATTAAATCCAACAAACAAAAGCAAAAGATGGAAACGACATTCTGCCTCTATCACTTCAGTCTCAGTAACAATTTATTCCTCTTCCCAAACTTAGCACCGCTAACCAGTCTTAGGCCCGAACGCCACGCCCACTCCCAACCCGCCAACTCCACTCTCGGTCGAATCTCCCGGTCCCACCCCTAAAACTGACGTCACCCATCTGATCCTCCCGGGTCTATCCCAAATCCTCCCAGCAGTCGCAGCACAACTGCTCTCCCGGCTGCTTTGAGAATCCCTCCCTCCTGTCTGTCCCTCTGCCCACTCCTCACTAGCGCAGCGTGTGGTCCGCCATGGGGTTGGAGTGAGCACGTTGCCGGTAGTAGCGCTTCTGGGGCGGCGGGGCCTCTGCTCCGGCCACGTTCCAAGTCTCGGCTGCCATGATCCCAGTCCGGGGTTTCTCTACCAAATCCACGTGGAGACACAGGCCAGAGGCGCAGGTTAATGACGCAGCCATGCGCGTTAGGGGCAGTTCCCGCCCCTTAAAGACCCAAGAGCAAATTCGGCTGGGCTGGGCCGGGCTGAGTCGGGAGGGCTGTAAGGAGCGAGTGCTGGAGGGAACCTCCGCACCGTTAGCCTCCAACTGGGAGGGTGAGGCCAGGCCCAGGGACCCAGCATTTTCTCTTAGCTTGCTTCTGCCTCGTCTGGGTTACCATCCTGGTTGCAGGCACCTGTGAACCCCACAGGTGAAAGGGGTCTAGATACCTCACCTCCTACAGTAGCATCAGTCCTCGCTCCTTCCCCCTCACTCCCGGTCTCCGACCAGTCCGCCGGGTCTGACTCGTGTGGTCCCGTGTGGGTTTTGTCGCGTGTGCGCTCGGGGCCGGGGCAGGAGGGGCAGCTCCTCATTCCACCTCCAGGAAGTCGAACTGGAGGAAGGAGGGCAAACACAGGGAGGCGGGGCTCGTGCCACAGGGACACCAAGACGGCTCGCGGCCCCCAACCTCTACCCCGCTCCGGAGCCGGGATCTGAGCGCTGGCCGTGGTGCCCGGGCACTCCCTTGGGGGGCCAGATGGCGGACCCCGGCCCAGATCCCGAATCTGAGTCGGAATCGGTGTTCCCACGGGAGGTCGGGCTCTTTGCGGACTCTTACTCGGAGAAGAGCCAGTTCTGTTTCTGTGGGCATGTGCTGACCATCACGCAGAACTTTGGGTCCCGCCTCGGGGTGGCGGCGCGCGTGTGGGACGCGGTGAGGAGTGGGCTGCGCCGGGTGAGGGTCCGTGGGAGGCCCAGATCCCGGACTCTGCCTCTCCCATATGGAGCCATCCTCACGACTGTCTTTTTCTCTCTCTTTTCTCCCGTAGGCCCTGAGCC